GGCGTGTTTAACCAACGCGATAGTGTGCTGGGTGATTTCAATGTTAAACGCACAAGAGTTTGGCATTATGATTCATTCAACATGTTCGCTTGAATTCATAACGCCAAACTCTTGTGCGACATCGCGTCGCTATTTTCTCTCAAACAGCTGATTGATACTCCAACCCGCTTGATATGTAATTCGGCAACCATCATTGTTTCGGAATCGTTAATTTAAATGTATTCTCGGGGATGGTAAGTAAACAGCTCATAGACACCGAACCGTCCCTATTCTAATAACCGTCGCTATCTATCTCAGATGGCACGATCCCTCTTGCGCGACACTCGGAAAGTTGACGATCGCGCACACATTCCGCGTGCGAAAGTTTACTCGCTTCCCGATCATCGCTATTTATTCTTAACGCTTCTTATCCCGAATATTAAGTGCGAATCACACCGAAGTTCCGTCGCGTATTAATGATGTATTTTTTCACGTAACGTTCTCGGTATACGCGTATCGCGAGGGCATTCAGTGCGCGAGAATTACTTGAATCTCTGGCGAGATTTGTCGGTCTCGTTACTGCTCGCAATACACTTTTTTTCGAACGACTGTGAGAAATTACTCGACGTCGTACCAAGTGTGAATTACCTGTGCACGCATCTAACCGAACGTATCAATTATCAGATTACGAGTATCGCTTACCGCCTGCTTCGAACAAATTTTAATTCGACTCAACAATAAATTTTGAATTATTACAACAAAGAGAGTCGTCGTTATTACACGTCGCCTTGGCGAGCGAGCCTTCTATACAAGGTGACACCAACGTTACAAACACAAAACAATCATAGATCTTATTTTTGTCTCGTCGAGTATAAATATGGTTGAGCGGGAGGTTGGTGCGGGATCAGTGATGTGATCGGCGTAAGTGACTATCTTACCACTCATGCAACGCTGGCTATTCCGCAATTCATTCTAGTCACGTATGTTTACCGCGTAACATCCACGCAATTAAACCTGAAGACATTGAGCATGAGCTGATAAATTGGTCCCGTTTATATGAAGCATTGTACGTTGATGAGATGGTCTCTCATTTTACGGCATCCCTCATTGATGTATTCGACCGACTCATTTCAATTACATGTAGCCGTGTTTCTCGTCCTCCTGCACTGTGGCTTAATAGTGTGGTCCGTAGGCTCATTGAGCTGAAACGACGTGCCCTTTACAGGCGAAAACAGTCTCCTGCTGACTGGCAGCGTTATAGAGACTTGCAGAATGATGTGAGCAGTGCTTTATGTTTGTGAGAAAAAATCCTTTTTCTGTATTTCGCTCGTGTCTTTTCTGGAGGAATCTCCGTGCACTTCGTGGTGCACAGTCCTCCGCTACTATACCTCTGCACTTTAGAAATTCTTCTCTTTTAAATCATTTTATTATAGATGCTCTACCTTTTTCGTCTTATTCCTCTAATTCTTTTAGTTACCTTCTTTTTTCTTTTCCTCACGTCTTTGAAACCTTCAAATTTGCAATCACACCCGGTGATCTATATAACATTCTTAAACATATATGTCTAACTTCTTCTGGGCCTCTAGATCTTTCCGATTTATCCAGTATGCTTCTACAATGCCTATGCCTTCCGCAATGTCTTAATCCCTTTCTCTATATATTAAATTTCTTCCTTACTGACAGTATCTTTCCTTCCTCCTGGAAACACTCAATTGTTCTTCTCATTTCCAAAACTCATAATTCCTCCTCTCCTTTGTCTTTCCGTTCTATCTCGCTTCCCCCTTTCCTCTCAAAGTTTGCTTGAATGTATCTGCTTCTCACAATTGAATGCTTTTATTTCAAATCATAATATCATTCCCTCCTGTCAGTCAGGTTTTCATAAGTCAACAACGGAATTACTGCATATTTTTGACATTGTACTTCGTAATTTTGACGTCTTACTTCCATTGTTGCACTTGATTTCACAAAGGCTTTCGATATCGTCAACCATGACCTACTTTTAATCAAACTTAGGCTATGTGGTCTATCCCATCGGCCTTTTCGCTAATCTGCTTTTTCCTTATAAACCCATCGCAGTAAGTCCTCATATATAATCCTTTTTCGTCTTTTCTCCTTCCCTCGTACTGTTCATCTCAGGGTTCCATTTTTGATCCTTTACTTTTTAATATCTTTGCCTCTGACTTGTCTGTTATTCCTCCGTCCTCCAAGCTCTTCATGTATGCAAATGATGTATGCAGATGACGTAATTTTACTCAAATCCTTTCATCCATTAGATACTTTAGCAGCCTGTTCTGCTTCAAATAAAGATTTGAAATCGATTGCTGGATGTCCATTAATAATATGCTGCATCTGAATCTTTCTAAGTCCTTGCTATTGGGAGTACAAATTAGTTCGGTCCGTTTTCCAAAAGATGGCTCCGGCTGTTGTGAATGGTTCATAGTGACAGCTGATTTTGGCATTTTCAGAGAGGTTAGACATCTGCTAATAATATTCAGTTTATATCGCTTTAAGTTTCATACAAAAATCTTGATTTTTACTATGTTTGAAATGTCGAATTTTGTGTTAATCAAGCAGCATTTGCGGGAGGTTCTAATTTTCTGCTTTAATTGGAAGAAAAGTGCAGCTGAAGCCCATTGAATGCTTGTCGAAGTTTATGGTGACACTGCTCCAACTGGTAAATCATGCAGGGAATGGTTTCGACGTTTCAAGGATAGAGATTTCAGTATTGAAGACAAGCTTCGCTCTGGACAGCCAAAAAAATTCGAAGACAAAGAATTAGAGGCATTACTCGAAGAAAATCAGAGTCAAACGCAAGAGGAGCTTGCAGAATCATTGGGAGTAATTCAACAAGCCGTTTCTGCACGATTGAGAGCCGTGGGAATAATTCAAAAACAAGGAAATTGGGTGCCTTATGAATTGAAACCGAGAGACGTTGAAAGGCGATTTTTCACTTGCGAACAGCTGATTCAAAGACAATAAAGAAAAGGTTTTTTGCATCGGATTGTGACTGGAGATGAGAAGTGGATATTCTACGACAATCCCAAGAAGAAAAAAATACTACGCTAAGCCCAGTCAATCGTTGCCATCGACCTCAACATCAACACCAAAGCCGAACATTCATGATTCGAAGATCATGCTCTATATCTGGTGGGACCAAAAGGGTGTTGTTTACTATGAGCTGCTGAAACCTGATGATTCCATTATCGGGCGATCGGTATGCTACAATTGATTCGTTTGAGCCGTGCATTGCGAGAAAAACGGTCGGAATACGAGCAACGACATGATAAAGTTATTTTTCTTCATGACAACGGCCTCATGTCGCAAAAGTCGTAAAAAAATATTTGGAAACGCTCAAATGGGATGTTTTACCGCACCCGCCATATTCTCCGGACATTGCTCCTTTCTGATTACTGATTGTTCCGAAGAATGCAGCACGATTTGGCAAGTCACCGGTTCACTTCTTCAAAATTGGATCGCCTCCAAAGACGAGTCATTTTTTCGAGATGGAATTTGAAAATTGCCTGAGACATGGGAAAAAGTAGTAGCCAGCGATGGACAATACTTTAATTAATCTGTTCATTCATTTTGTTTTGAAATAAATGCATTTTTGAACACAAAAAACGGACCGAACTAATTTGTATTCTCAATAATTGTCGGTTCTACAGCATCATCCCGTATTCAATTCTTCGATATTGCTCTTAATTCCGTTTTAATTCCTCGCTTCTTCTCTATTAATTTATTAAGATTCTTGATGTTCATGTTTACTCTTCATGAATATTTGAATCATACGTGGCCGTCAAGTGTTGGGCTGCTTACGTCTACGTCTTCTTTATCCCCTACGCCATAACCTTCCCTGTTCTCAAAAACTCCTCACTTCTCAAATTCTTATTTCTCGATTACGCTGATGTTGTCTATGTTCTCTTAATCAACAACTTCTAGATCGTATACAGTGTATCCAAAATTCTTTCTCCAAAATTCCTCTCCTATTGTGTTCGTAAATTTAACCGTATAACTCCGTATTATTAGATATCTGGTTGGCTTAGGATATGGCAACGTTTTATACTCTGTGCTGTCTCGTATTTTCTCTTCCTTCGATCCAATACTCCTTTATATCTGCGACGTCTCCTTCAGTTTAATTCCGAGTTTCATTCTATTATTAACTCTCTTGCCATCAGATACCAAGATTATTTATCTTTCCCCAGACATCAGTCCACTAAGTTCCGTGCTGCTTTCTTCTATACCTCAGTTAAATATTTCAATTCTCTTCCTGTATCAATAAAAATCTATCTTTCTTTATCTTTTGTTCCGCTTCACGTTTCACCGCATCACTCACGGTTTTTAAGCGAGACTGATGGAACATTGAGCGCGCGCGCGTGTGTGTGTGTATGTGTGTGTGCGTGCGTATGAGCGTGTGAACATATCTCATGTATACGTTTTTTAAAGTATGAATGTACCTATATTGCTTTACCTTTTTTGCGTTTTTGTTTATATTCTAGTTTTTGTTACTGGTAGGCTTTGTAACAGCAGTTTTGTTCAAGCCTAATCATTTGCAAGATGTTATAGTCTATTGTATCATATTTTACTCTGTTAACATGTAATCTATTTATAGAGCCTTGCAATGAAGTAAATTAAATTAAATTAAATTAAATTATTTTGGTACACTCTGTATATGTAATCAGTTCTCAAAATTTCTAAACCAAACTAAAAGAAATGACAATGGAATCGATATCGAATCGACTTCAATTCGACGTTAATTTGATTTCAACGTCGGATCGACATCAATGCGATATTGATTCCATTGTCATTTCTCACTGGATAAGCAATAGTGGATTATACATTATGTTTATACATTATGTCGGCAACATGACAACAACGTGTTAGCAACGAATAATTAGTCGTTTCAGCTTGAGCGTATGAAAATGTGACAGCAACAGAATATATATAATGATTTCCTTTGTTGCAAACATGCTTTCAAGCTATGAAATGTTTTAATTGCAGGTCGTTGCTAACAAAATGCTGACAATATGATAACGCAAGTTATTGCCGACGATATTCATGCTGCCATTAGATATACATTGCCATTAATTTGCCATCGCAAGAATTCGAATTCCATTGAGTTCAACGCGACAGACATAATGCTGTTTCATTTTGTCCTGAGTTTATCGAAATTGGCTGCAACGTTTACGGTAACATATTAGCAAATACACTGCATTTGGTTGTCTGGGATTATTCATATGAGGGCAAATCAATAAGTACCTGTGTTAGTAATGAAGACGCAAACTTTTCAGCAAAATTTTTTTTTATTTTTCATAATCTCCTTTTAGGAGGACATTTTTTACAACGCCCTTGTCATTTTTTTTAACTATTTCGAAAAATACGATTTGTCGAACTCTGCAAAATAGATTTCTGTTTCGGCGATGACCTCTTCATTCGACGTAAATCTCTTTTCACTGAGTTTTATTTTTCTAAGTTTGGAAATATGAAGATGTCGTAGGGGGCCAAATCTGGAGATTATGGTGAATGCGGCAGCAATTCGTAGCGCAATTCGATTAATTTGGCTGTGGCGACTGCGGAGGAGTGAGCCGGTCTAATGGAACAATAACACTTTTTTTTCATCAAAAGGCGTTTTTTCTTTAATTCAACATTGAATCGGATCAATAAATCAGCATAGTACTATGATAGTTTTTCCCTTCTCCATGTAATCGATGAAGATCACCCCTTGCGGATTCCAAAAAAAACAGTGCCCATCACTTTTTCGACCGTTGGGACTGTCTTGGCCTTCTTCGAAGTACGTTCACCGCGTAAAGTTCACTCTTTCGACTGTTCCTTGGTCTTCGATGTGTGTAATAATGAATCTATGTTTCACCAATAGTTACGACTCGATGCAAAAACTTCTGCGGATTGCGCTTGAATCGCTTCAAATACTGCTTCGAAATTGATAGCCACATCCGCTTGTTATCCACCATAAACAATCGCGACTTCCATCGGGCCGACAGTTTTTTCATTCCCAAATTGTCATGCAAAAATATTGAATGTCGTTCCGTACGACATAGCCTATAGCTTCTGCTGCTTCATGCACTTTCGTTCGGCGATCAGCGAGAATCATGTCGTCGACTTTTTCAGTAACCACGTCTGCCTGGGCACTCCTCATCAAAAACAGACGAACGATCACATTTGAATTCGTTGAATCAATATCTGACGGTTGTTATAGATAGATGAAGGGTTCCTATAGGCATTCAACTTTGTTTTTATTTTTTTGTACTAAAAATTTTTCCATCTAAAAATAAAAAATGAATTATGGATCAATATTGCTCTTTTTTGTATCGGAAAACATCAAACATGCTGACTACGAATTGCTGTCAAATCAAGACTATTGCATGAATCACTCTGAAATTTTGTATGGTATCGTTTGAAAGATGGTAGTATACATACGATGCCAATTTACATCAGCAACGTCGCTTATCTTTAAACACGGGTATTTATTGATTTGCCCTCGTACAAAAGTTTTTCTCAATTAAAGTAGAACAAATCACAATAACATCAAAATGACATTGAACTGAATCGTGATTAAACAAAAAAAAATGACTTTTAGTAAACAGTTTTGGATCCATTTTAACATCATGATGATTTTTTGTTCTGTTCAAATGTTTTTTAATTTACTGTATATGATTGATTTTAGAAACATTTCTGCTAAAACATTTTATATGATATATTCCAGTTACATATGAGACGTGAAAGGTTGAAACATTTTTGAAAACAATCCGCAATAATTAGTCCTATATAAGAAGAGTATTTTTTGTCATACTAAGGAAAAGAAAATGTTTTTCTAATAAATTCTAAGGAAAAGAGAATGTAATAAATTTTAAAGGAAAAGTATGTTTCTTATAATACTTTTTAAAATAATGTGTTACTTATATTGATAAGACGTATTAATTTCTTACATTATTTCTTAGGACAAATTCATTTTTTCGACAAAAAAATATTTGTTTTTATCATGCGTTAATATATGTAACTAATAAAAATTTGTTTCATTGAAAAATCATCGTTGAAATTTTGATCCCGTTAATCTTTTTCAGAAAAGGAAGGAAGAACAATTTTTTCTTATTTATATATTTTCTTATTTACATATTTATTAAATAAAATTGATTAACAGATTTATTATTCACTTAATTTTCCTTCGGCCTCCTTAATTTAAAAAATGTATATATTGTATATATTAATAAAAATTCGTTTTATTGAATAATAATCATCATTAAAATTTTGAGTCCATTAATCTTTTTCAGGAAAGGACAATTTCTTTACGCATTAATCGAGTTAAATTGATTGATCGATTCATTATCCAATTAATTTCTTTATAGTTTCTATAATTTTAAAAATGTAGCAACTTCATAAAACTCAGCATATAGAATACTTATGTATTTATGAATATATTTAACATGTACATTTTATATTAGAAGATATTGAATATTTTTTATAACTTAGTGCAGTTTCTATCTGGTGATCTAAATTATTTTATGATCATCAATTTAGTCTATTTGTATACGTTTCATTAAGCCTAAATGATCTCAGCTAAGCTGTGATGATTTATATGACATTTCAAAATGGAAATTGGAATTTCTTGAAAGATAACAAATAACTATTATATAATAATCCAATTTGATAGGATGCATCTTATGCAACAAATAATAAAATGAATAAAGATTACATTAATACATATAACACAAAATCATTGATTTTAAATGATTAGTAATAATTTAGCAACAGATTATAATCATACCATTGTGAGTATATACCAAAAAGCAATAAAAAGATGCAATGAAGATTGATTTAACTGGTCAATGAAAATGTATTGATGAAAATGTATCAATGTATGTCACAAAGATTTGAGACGAACTATTCATTTAAGCTGTAAAAAATGAAATAACTAAGACTTCAATTAAAGGAATATGAGGAGAGAACATATAAAGTTTTAAGATCTAATTGACAAAATTTATTATATGATTTATGAAAATCTTAAATTGATAAATGAAAATCATGCACCTTCAGTTTCAAGAACGCTAAAATTGATAGAATTGATAGAACCATAGGGGGCTATTTTTAACTGTCAGAGGCTAATGTATAGAATGTTACACAGAAATTTATTTATAATCTAATTTTATAGTCTAATTGAATCAACTACTAACGGAATTGATTTTCATGTTTTTGGATACAGGGGAAATTATTCACACGAAAAAAACAACTTCGAGGGGATAAAAGAAAACAGGCAGAAGAGGAAGTTGAAAGGGAAGTCAGCCTACTTAAATGGCAACATGAAGCTGTGTATAAGCGTATAATTTTGGTAATAATAGATCTGCTGATTTATGTTCATCAGAAGTTCTGTGTAAGGTGATACAAGAAACAATTAAAAAAGAACTAGGCATAAAATCTGGAGAAAATCCAGTTTTTCCCTAAAATCCTTAAAATATAATAGTACATTCATATCATTCTGAATATGCAGGAAGTATTCGAAAAATATGTCTCTATAGAACATTCATTATGTATTGGTTACCGGAACAAATTATATTGTATAATTTATTCTTAAAAAATGACAGATAGATGGCATTAATATTGATATAATTGACAGTTTAACAAAATCGCTACCAACAGCCGATGGTTCAAAGAGCATTATCTTTTGTATCAATCTGTGATAGTTTATAATGGTAAAATACTTCCATTATTTTAAATAATATCTCAAATACATGATGGAAACACGATGTATTATTGGATACGATAGTAGTTATGTTCAGATGCTAAAATTTCAAAAGAAGTTATTATAGATTATTTTATGGTACTTTTAAATGCTTCTTCGTTAACATTTCATCAGCGTAGTCTACAAAAGTATTTGGATGAATGCTTCCATCAAATATTTACAGTTAAGTACCTATTTAAAAACAAGGACGACGCTAGAATATTTGGTGACCTCTTTCCTCGTAAATTTTAAATTAACGCCTTACACGTGGAATTTCTAATTAGTTATCTAATTTCAAACAACTTACAGCACAAAACTAGCGGACATTCTGAGAACCTTTTTTTTACACGACGGTATCGAGGAAGAAGAAAACAGATGTATCAGTATTCTAAACAAAAACATTTTATATGATGTACATATTTTTTTTCAAATTTATTGTTTCAATTGCGTATGTATATTTTTATGTGTTTCATATACATGCGTACATATCTACATATATGTGATTACTACATATACATACACGATAAAAGAAATATTCATTCAAACATATATGTATATGCATGGTCACACTCAAACTTCAAGCAGTATTAAATATTTTAAAGTAGAGAGATTCATAGGAAGACAGTGGCAAATTGCATCACGTGACCCGGTCTCCTCTGATTAGATCTGGATATCAAAACTCCATAGATCTATGGGAGATATGCACAGTACGTAGATTGGACAACTGCAAAAGTCGCAGTACGCTTATGCTGTAATTTCTTCCTTAATTTTACAATTGGTGAGGTCTTTATAAGTCGGGATGCGGGGAAAAAATCCATCGCGCGGGAAGTAGGACGTGCTCGCACAGCCGGAGCCGAGCCAGGATCAGTCTCCCATGCGGGCTGTCCTCCCAAGAGCGGGACCTCCTCCGCTGGTGGAGGGAGGAAATGCCCTCGCATCCCGGTTGGTCACTCTCGACGTGGTGGAGCTAGTTGAGGTCGCCTTGGAAGAGGCGGTACAGAGTGCTTAGGATGTCCTTTGGTATTCTTCAAACGAATCTGGATTGCGATCTTTTCTTGCATTCCCTCGCGGATCGCGGCTTAGAGTTTGGTAGTGCCGTATCGAATGCGAGACAGGTATTCTAATTGGGTGATCAATAAATACGGTTCCGTCGCAGTCGTCTGGGGAATGGAAAGCATCAACCCGCCCCCCTGCCGAAAACTGACTTTGTCACCGAGGGGACGTCCGGCGTCAACATTGATCGCAAGAGACTTCAACGCCTGGTCGCGACATTGGGGTTTCCACAGATTGAACATCAGAAAGAACGGAAGACTTATGGAGAGCTCGGGCTTTGCCTCGTAAATCGAGAAGCCACTTAACACTTTTCAAACGTACTGGGGGGAGGGAGGGGGGAGAACGTCAATCATAGATTTCATATGGGCCTCCCCGGCGATCGCGAAAGAAATCCGAGGCTGGGAGGTTGTACAGGGGGCTGAAATTCTATCGGATTATATCACTTTTCACTTCGGATACGATAGTGAGACAGGGCCTAATTCCCGCGTCAGGAAATCCGCAAGAAGATGAGTCCTCCGCAAGATCGACGCGGATATGTTTGCAGTTTATATCAAGACGAGCTCTCCTCGTGAGAGAATTCGGGAGCGAGAGCGAGGAAGTGGATGGCGGAAAGTTTGCGTGACACCATGTGGAGGGCGTACGACGCCTCGCCGTCGCTCCCCGTTTGCCCGCACAGAGGGAGCTGCGATGTTTGATCCGGGTGGTCAAAGCGGAGGCTAATTTTGTCCCTGAATAGAGATCCGTGAGGGAGGCCGTACAAAATAGTTTTGAAAATATTGGAAGTACAAATTAGTTCGGTCCGTTTTCCAAAAGATGGCTCCGGCTGTTGTGAATGGTTCATAGTGACAGCTGATTTTGGCGTTTTCAGAGAGGTTAGACATCTGCTAATAATATTCAGTTTATATCGCTTTGAATTTCATACAAAAACTTTGATTTTTATTGGAGATGAGAAGTGGATATTCTACGATAACTCCAAGAAGAAAAAATACTACGCTAAGCCCGGTCAATCGTTGCCATCGACCTCAACATCAACACCAAAGCCGAATATTCATGGTTCGAAGATCATGCTTTGTATCTGGTGGGAAAAAAGGGTGTTGTTTACTATGAGCTGCTGAAACCTAGTGATTCCATTACGGGCAATCGGTATCGGCTATAATTGATTCGTTTGAGCCGTGCATTGCGAGAAAAACGGTCGGAATACGAGCAAAGACATGATAAAGTTATTTTTCTTCATGACAACGCTCAACCTCATGTTGCAAAAGTCATAAAAAAATATTTGGAAACGCTCAAATGAGATGTTTTACCGCACCCGCCGTATTCTCCGGACATTGCTCCTTCTGATTACTG